ATTGTAATCGGTTAAAATACATGAGAACATAATGATGATTATGTGTGTATTAATTGATGAGTTGTGGATGTTTGATTGTTGTGTAAAATTATGTAATGAGTATGCATGAGAACATTTTGAATATGTGTGCATAACTTATAATTGTATGACTGGTATTGCGATGTGAATACCTTGATTGTTGTGATAATTAGAGATACATGGGAATACAATGAGGAATGTATGTGTATCGTCTAATGAATTGTGATGATGTGTGTTGTGGGTAGCCTACGGGCATGAATCCTAGTTGATGTGCGATGTGTATTAATTGTGATAAATAGAAATACATGTGAATACAATGATGAATGTATGTGTATTGTCTAATGAACTTGCGAATGCTTGATGTGTATACAATTATGTGATGAGTATGCATGAGAACATGGTGGATATGTGTGCATAACTTATAATTGTATGATTGGTATTGTGATGTGTATACCTTGTATGAGATGGCATGAGATAAAGAATAAACATACTATGAAAAAATGTGTTGTGGATGCATATTGTTTATATGCGATTGTATGTTAAAATACATGAAGAATGCATGAGAGCATAATGATGGATATGCGTGCATTGCTTGCTAAACATGATGTTGTATTGAATTGTGAGGGATGCATGGGAACATATCGTGGATATGTGTGCATCGTTAATAATTGTGAGGGATGCATGGGAACATATCGTGGATATGTGTGCATCGGTTAGTAATTGTGAGAGATGCATGGGAACATATCGTGGATATGTGTGCATCGTTAATCATTGTGAGAAATGCATGGGAACATATCGTGGACATGTGTGCATTGTTTGATAACTGTGAAGAATGCATGAGAACATATCGTGGATATGTGTGAATTGTGAGTGATAATGTGGTGATAGTGTTGAATTATGAATACATTGATGAATGTTGTGTGATATATGTTGTATGTGCAATCATTGTGTAATTCTTGAAGTGATGAATTATGTAAATGCATGAGATTAAGATGTCGGTCTTAAGTGCATTTGTTGTGGTTGATTGTACATGCATCATTTAGTCAAGAGGCAATGTCTGTTAGTTTCGTGGAAACTAGTGGCTTGTCCCAAACCTAGAAGTGTGGGTTTGAAGGCTTAGAGGACGGGCCTTTGTGGTTATCGGTCTAGAAGTGTGGACCCGGTTTAATGTAAAAACCGAAAAAAAGATAATGGGTTATCGGTCTAGAAGTGTGGACCCGGTTTAATGTAAAAACCGAAAAAAGATAACGAGAGTCGGTACCGCATTGCATTGAGTTGCATTGAGTTGTTGAGTCACATTGTATAATGTCATTGATATATGAAGTATGCATGTGAATGAGATGTTTGTTGAATACTTATGAAGCGTGCATGAAAAGATGCTTACGTGTGAATGTTAAGATTGTGGAATTGTGGATGTATGCATGATGTAAAATGCTTGGCGAATATTCATATTGTATATAAATGTAAGTGACGATGTAAATGACTATGAGTTGAATTGTGGTGAGAAATAGGGAGTTAATTATATGATACCTATGTATACATGATTTTATGCTTTGATTATTATGGTTATATTTCTCACCCTTCTGCTGTTTTATAATGCTCTATGAGACATTGCAGATTAGATTGCTGGAGGCCTTTATGAAGTTCTGCTTGTAGTTCGAGGTCGCTACGTGTGTAGCGGTTTAGTAATTATTTATGGGTCGAGTCATGCTCTGGTCGTGTAACACGGGGATCGATTGCTTATGTTTTAGGATTACATTATGTAACCTAAGTTATGTTTTCATATTTGGAATAATTGAGATAATGAGATGTTGGCCTTAGTGCCTAGAGATGTTGATTTTATATGATGAAAGTAAATGTTTCTTTTAAAGGATTTTTATTAATGAATCCGCTGCTAAATGGAAAGGTGTTTATGAGCATGACAGATTGTTTTAATGTGGTGCAAGTTTTGTGTGACGCCCTTTTTATTTGAATGCATGTTAATTTTACTCTGATTATGCATATATTTTCCGTGGGGTTTAGAAGGGTGTTACATTACGCGTGTCAGCAGGGAGATCAGAGATGGAGGAGGTTGAGACGCGTGGGTTGAGGGAGGAGAGAGGGAGACACGTGTGCTGAGGGAGAGGTGGCAGAGAGAGAGTGGTGTGAGGTGTCAGGTTCTGAGTGAGTCAAACAGTGAGGTGGTAGAAGAGAGAGAGTGGTGTGGCACACCTTATATAGTGACAAGTGGCAAACTCTGGACTTGTGGGCCCACGAAAATTGAACAACTGGCCCATTATGGCCTTGATGACTCTGTTAATAGACCAATTATGATGATTAATGGACTAAGACTTGAATTAATTGCAATGAAAGAATGACTAATGGCTCTATTAAACTCAGACTTAGACTCTAATGACTATCTAATTACAACCTAATGCAAAACGAAATTAATTACAAAACACTAATCAAATCTCCTAATTAATCCTAATTAACAAAAAAAAGATTAAACTCTAATTAATCTCCATGAATTAATCCTAAAAGAAACATTGACTCCAATTAACTCTATAAAAACCAATTAAAAACCTTCTTAATATCTAAACATAAAATCTATTTAAAACCACTAAAAAAGGAAATATCTATTTAAAATTCTATCCAATTAAAAAACTCTATTAAATCTATATCTAAAAATACTATATTAAACCTATTTAATATCTAAATTATTCTATTTCTATATTAAAACTAATATCTACTAAAACTCTATTAAAAAAACTATTATTCTATATTAATTCTATTAAAAGAAAAATATTAAAAAAACCTATTTAATATCTAAAGAACTCAAATAACTATTAAAAAAACTATTAAAATCCATTAAAATCTAGAAAATAAAAGGGAAAATTCTAAAAATGCCAGGAAGCCGATTAAATCGATTAGAGAACAATTGCGCAACCATAGCGAAATAGACGGTAAAAACCGGGCACCGAGATGGCCTGAAAACACAGGGAACGAGCACCAATTCTCAACAAAAATCCTCGTGTTGGCCTAAAATGCCTGAAGCGCCAGGGGAGGCTGTAATCCCGATAAAGTCAATCTGACTGAGAAAATGCAATGTATGCAGTATGCGAATGCGAATGCAAAATGCGTCGAAACATAAACCAGATTTGAGAACCGGTTGGTCAAATTTTGGGGTGCAACAATAATAAACCTGGGAAAGAAGGTATTGATGATGATAATGTTATAAGTGAGGATGGTTTTGAGGATAATGGGTTTCAATTTAGTGAAGAATTTGAGGAGATGGAATGCAGAGCATCGTTGGATGTTCTAGAGACGTAAATCTCCTGCATTGAGATACATGATAGCTCAACGGTAAGTCCATAAACCACGACTTGGATTGGGGTATCTCCCAATAGTTGGCCCTGGAGGGGTATGGCCGGTCCAAAACTTCGTTATTCATCCATCCTGGTGAAAATTCAAAAATATCTCTTTCGCACTATCTGAATTATGAAATCTGAGTGCACCCCGATATTAATAATCTAACATTAGAATCACGTCGAAGGTGAGTAAATACTATGTCCGAATTGCAAAATACAAATGCACCATACGAACATTGTAATCTGGACGATGCCATTTAAGTAGCACAAACAGTTTTTCCCTTACATTTCAAATAAAAAATATCTCTCAACCATACCAGAGCTCTCACAAATTTGGGTCCAACATATTTTCAACTTTTTCTCTCTATCTACCCATGTGCATCCAAACCAAACAACTTCATCAACTTTTAGTCCTCTTCATTCAAGACAGGCAACTTCAAGTCTCACATTTGGTAATTTTCTCATTCACTCGTGCTTTTTTTTTTACTTTTGATGCATGCAATCTAATTCCTTAAATGATTCTAGTCAAAATCCATTAAATTACATCTAGTAGAAAATACCTAAACTACATTAGATTACTTCCTACGTTTGAACCATTATGCATTAGGAGTTGTAGGGTGACTAAAGTTTCTCACTTATACGAGAAAATTCATATTTCAAAATATGTATTCACTTTTATGAAAATTCAAAATATATATACGCCTTAAGTATTAGTGTTAAATTGAGAGTAAGGATAGCATTGTTGTGCAAGACCGTGCTGGCCTGCTGTCCATAATATATTTTTAATTTTAAAAAAATATTATTCATCACATAAATACGATAAGAGTATATACGCCTTAAGTATTAGTGTTAAATTGAGAGTAAGGATAGCATTGTTGTTTTAGTTTTCTATAATTTGAGAATACTGCACAGGTGTAGAGAAGAATCCCCCTATTATATTACTCGCTATCAAATTACTCAAAATCACTCAAGTCACACTTCAAAACTTCAAATCTGAGGGTGTGTAGCCAACCCAAATTTTAAGAAAGAACTTGGCCACAATCAAACATATACCTTTTGGATCATTTATCCAACAAGAGTTTGTATTATATCAAACAACGGTGATCAAGGGCGCATTCACTATTTTGTTCAATATTTGATGAATTTTCCTGTGGTTTAGGGTTCTTCAAAAAATTCTAAATTAAATAAAATTATCTTAAACTTTTTACTTGTTTATTATACAACTACTGAACTTAGAAATTTTACTATAAATCAAGCAAACCTGATTTTGTTTCGGTCTTAAAACTCAGACAAGCAACTCTCAAGGCAAATAAACAAATCTAACATTTGATCGATTAATAAATAATCTTCGGACCGATTCGGCTTTTTCCCATAATACCATATTTTCGGTGGTAACACAAACATGAAACACTTTTGGGGCAATCCAGATGCAAGTCTTGATGTAATTTGGGTGGAGAAAGCTGCAACATTTGTTAATTAGGAATTGTACATTCCTTCCAAGTTGAGCATATTAAAATTTCTCCAAGCTGTCTTCAAATCACTTGGCGAACAAATTCTAAATTGTGATGGGGTTTAGTGTACATAAATTATAAGGCACATTTGTTCATACATGACATCCCTTTCAAGAGTGCATGTCTATGTCGACCACAACGAGGAGAGAGACTTTCCCTTTTGACATTCTGTGACACAAGCAAGTACAATCTCTTGCAACTGTTTCTCCACATCGTCTATGGGTTGGCAAGCGTCTACAACCTGCATCAAGCCAGTGGAAATACAAAGGCAAACAGAACAAGAAAAATGTTTAGCACAATGCAGTAAAATACTAAAATAGCAACAAGACAGAAATGTGGAGATTATAGAAACAAAAAAAAAAGTGATTGTAGAAAAGATGATTATCACTTTGCCAGACAGACGTATGACAACAAAATACAGTATTAGTAACAGAACTGCCAATTTAAGGAAGAAATGCCAGAAAAAACAGTTCATTACCTTCCAGGAGGCATCATGAAGAACTTTGTAATGTTCAGCAACTTTCTTCTGAAAGTCCAGCTTTTCATATCTCTCATCACCATACCCTCCTCTTTCTGCAGCTTTCTGATATAAATGTGCAAAGAACATAAATAAGTAAATCAGGGAATTATGCCCGAACCAAGCTCAAACAAGCTAGCCAATCGATAGTGAAAAAAATCAGAAGATCAAGGTCGACGAGTTTTGGCAACAAGAGAGCAGAACTCATTTAACTTCTGTATATAGAGGGAGCAAAATTTTAGATCCCAACAACATTGAACATAAAGGGGGAAAAGAAATGAGAGAAAATAAGTACGGTTGAGTACAGAAACATTTTACAGCATGAAAAAAATAAAATTAACGGGTAAGAAATATCAACTCTTAAACTGTAGTACTGATAAATAAAGCAGCTTCGAAATCGTGTCTCAAAACCTAACCCAGCAAATCACTATTCATTGGCCACATAGCCAGTGTTGCTTACATCTGGTGATATGTCAAGGTATGCTACCAGATCTGGAGCCAGCAATCCAATTTCCGGGGCCTGCAAAATTTAAAATTCACTGTTTACTAACAGAGAGAATGTAAGCCATTGTTTAAATTCTAAACTAAACAGAATAGAAAACATCCTGAGAAGTCGTTGTGAATCTTTTACCTTACACCATTCAATATCTAGTCCCTTGGCAGATGAGAAAGCCACTCCAGAATAAGAATAACGGTCAACAATGAGGGTTATTCCACTTTTCAATTTTGTTTCCATCAATGATCTGCATAGACAACACAGCTTAATGAAAAAAATCTTGGAATTTCACTTGCCACGAGCATGTACCAGCAAAAATGTCCAACTACTTTAATTGCTATAAACCAGTAAGCACATGAATCTATTTATGATATGAACAAAGTCTTAGCAGCCATATTTCACTAATCGGATACCATGTGCTGGGCTTATTGAATTCTGCTAAGAGTCAGAGACCATGCCAGCCTTACAATACCACATGCCATCACAGCAATGATGTAACATAGCTAGCTTAATCTAATAACATAAAGCATATGTTCATATTACATATGGCCTATTTGGCTTCTAAAATCATTATAGAAACTAGAGTTTTGACTTAAATGCCCAAGTTACGTATGGTTTTCATTTTCTCCTTCATACCACCGCTATGAAGTGGTGTATAGCCATATATGAAACATCCAAGCCATGAATAAAGAACTTTACTTGTTCTTCACATGCTACAATTCAGACATAACCATGGTTCCTATGACATAAATTTCACAAGCTAACACCCAGAATACTGCACGTGACAACTAATAACATAACTGATAGGAAAACAGTAATAAAAGCATAGAAACCTCTTTTCCCAGCGATTAGCACTAAAGAGAAGATGAATAGTATGATCATCCAACTGTGATGCATTTGTAAGATAAGCAGATATCATTTGGCCAACATTTGTAGTTCTATCAGGAAATCTCCATAGCTCAGCAGAGATCCCTTGTCCCTCCAAGTAGGACACTAGTCTGCTACACTGTGAAGACTTCCCAGAACGATCCAAACCTTCAAGGACAACCAAGGCACCTCTTGCCTCTTTTTTGTTGCCCTCTGTGCTACAACTAAGATTAGCTTCCATTCTTATCTGCCTAGGAGAACACCTAGAGGTTAACTTCACTTGAAAATTCAACGAAGAATGCAAAACTAGTGCTCTGGAGCTCCTGCAAAAGTAAACCCAGTTATTATCAAAGCAGAAATCTTTTTCAACGGGTTGACATTGGTACATCGATCAATGTTACAGTCTTGGGTCATGAATCAAGCAAAAGTATACAACAACAAAAATAACTTAAAAAAACTAAGTTCCTCAATCCTAAGTCTCAGCACAGGTAAAAACAATTAATAATAATATTATAACAAAACCATTTCTCAACCACTGGACTAAGCACTATTCTAGGTCAAGTAAATTCAAAGTTCAGACATAGTATAATAAATAATAATAATAATAATAATAATAATATTATTAAATTAAATGGAAAAAAACACAATCTAATTAAAAAAATAATTTTTAACAAAACAGATTTAAGTTCCAGAAAAAGCAAAGGGTTCTTACAGTGACTTCAATGTTGTGATGCAAGTGCCATAGATCATATCCTAACCACACCTTTAAACTGAAAAATAAAATAAAAGAGGAAATTGAAAAATTCACAGAAACATGGTACAGTACTGAAATTTGTGTTCATGTGCTTTAAATTGGAAGACACGGACAAAATTGAACGAAAAGAACCGATTAAATAAATGATTCATTGAAAAATAAGATCAATTCAGAAATTGGTTATGAAAACATACTGAGGGGTTAAGAATCAGAGAGGCACGGAGAGGAGAAGAGTAATAAAGTTGGAAAGCATCTTACCGGAGATACTGGCGAGGAAGAGTAGCGATTTAAACGAAGGGAGGAACACGGCGATGTTGGTGAAGCCGCACGGCGGCGGAAATTGTGAAGGAGATCTATAAGCGGGGTTGGTGCATAAGTGTGGCGGAAATTAAATCAGAACCCTGTAAAGTAATGTGTTTTTCCCGCCTAAAATAGGGGATTTTAGTAATTAACTAGTTGTGCTGGTAAATTAAATTTGAGAATATAGATATAAATAATTTTAAAAACTATAAAAAGAATGTACTCCCGTTCAGTTGAATCTGTGATGGACCAATTCGTGCAAAAATTCTCAAAATCCAAGATTTTTTAAGGACAAAACCCTAACGATTTTATTCAAGAAAAACATACTGATTTCTCAATCCAAACCCGATTACACCAATCCTATGTTTGGACGTTATCACCTCTAAAAAGCAGAATGCACAACAAAAATGATTATGTGTAGTTATTGAGAAAATGCAAGAAAGAGGATGAAGATGATGAGAATAAAATCAGTATCTATTTTCACTTTGCTTGTTGTAGTTTTAAGAATAAGCTAACTCACTATACATGCAAGTTAAAAACAATTAACGAACATAACAACCATAAAGACAGTTTTACATAACAGAAATTTAACTAAAAACGCGCGAGCGGTCGACCTATACAAGGGGCAGGGTCGACCTGAGCTCACCCGAATTTTAGATTATGCAGAAAACAACACCTTGCATCGACCAGAACAGGTCATGCTTCAACGCAAAGCATACAAAATTAGACAAACAGAAATGGACACAGTATGAGTCGACCGGAGGGTCGACGCGAGCACTCCTGATAGTAGACAATAAAAAAAACCTTTTATATGAGTCGACCGGAACAAGTTTGAGTCAACTCAAAGACACAAAATATGCATAAATGCATATTTTCATGTATAATGCTACTTTTGAGATAAGCTAGACATACTTGACCAAACCTATATGAAGCATATATTGAACAATTTTTATATGTATCAAATAATATTTTTGACCGATGTTTAACTCAAGAGGGATAAGGTATGCATATGTGACACAATGATACCGTCCAAAGTACATTTTTCTACCTATATAAGTTTTGACATCATTAAAACAGGTGTAGTTAACTATGAGGATTGCCCTCACACCAACGTTGTCCAAAGATTGACCTTATGATTTGTAAATTGTCATAGCAAAAGAAACAATAATTGGGAATTATCTTCTAACCAATTTAAAAGGTCATGGTGACTGTGAATGGGACAAAAACATTATTGGAATATAAATGATGTTACCAATATTCTTTCCTGAAATGATCTTATCTTCAATGACATAACTAGCAAGCCTTGTTACAGTGAGTTTGGTACCATTTCATAATCCTTCAGATTGATCCAAGTTGCGCAACAACATAATTGTGCTCCCAATTTTCAACTTGATTGAATGATTAGGCAATCATGATATTTTAAGAGCATTCAAGAATTCAAGTGTCAAGTGTTCAAATGCATCGAAGTCAGTTACTTCAGATCTATCAACAAAATTGCTACCGAAGTATTCCTTTTCATCTCCTTAAATTAAAAAAATACAATGTATTTGAGTTCAATTCTAAGAAAGAATATGTTATGGAATTAAATACATTAAGTAAGTATGAATAGTACATGTAAGAAGGTTTGTGATGTATTGATTGATATCATCTGCCACTTCAATAGTTAAAGGCAAAATTGCACGAATTTTAAGGTAATTGGAGTCATTGTAGTTATGAATGAGATTAGGGTAGGTACTTTCAACAATAGCCTCAATAGGATCTGAAAAACTAGAAATGAGAAATTCATGTGGAATTGAAATTTCAACATAACCATCGTTTGGTTCAGACATTCTCTCATCTCCAATTTTTAAGTTCCACTCATAAATTTTTTGAATCTCATCAACGGTAGCTGTTATTGTTCCACATTGCAAGCGCATGTTCTTTGTAAAAAGCCTCAAAGAAAAATCAGTTATCCATAGGAGCATCATCCCATATGATTAAATTAGTCAACTTTAAAAGATTAGCAAGTTCATCTTTTTTGTCAATGTTGCAAATGGATGTTCCTAAAGTAGGGGCTGGAATCTTAAATTTAGAATGAGTTATTCTTCCACTTGGTAATAACAAACTTGCAATCCCACTTGAGGCAACAGACAACTTAATTTTTCTTTTAGCACGGAGTGCAGTTGACAAAGTGTTCCACATAAATATTTTATCTGTTTCACCATAACCATATAAAAACAACACCACCATTTTGTTTTTCTACCGCTTCCATTATTTCTTCAAAAATCTTTCTTTGCTCATCTACAAATAACATAATCATAAAAAAAAAAAGATTAGTATGATCAACATCTAAATGATATTGTTATACTAAATAAATGCATTTGGATGTTAGTTGTGAGAGATGCGTGTAAATTTAAACACAATTGTTCTTGAATAACTGGACCATATTGTTTCTCATCATAAATAAACTTATTTTCAAGAAAGGAAATTATGAAATCTTTTGGATATGGCATAGACTTGTAGTCCTTCAAACTTTTCTTGTTTTTTTGTAATTGTGTTTCAATAGCCATAAGTGTAAGTTGTTGTATTTCTTCATTCGTAAGTGTTAAACTTAGGGTATAAAAAAACCTCTATTTAAAACACTCAATCTTAAAGTAAAGAAATAGAAAGTAGAATACGATGAAATAAAAAGTGTACTTGGATTTCTTGTCAACACACGTTGTGTTGGAGTCGCAGCGGAAATTTAGCTTCTAATAACGATATGAAATATCACCCTCACTAAAGTTGAACACTAAATAATATAGTTAGAATAATAACTTGTATGAAGAAATATATGTCTAAAGAATAAAGATTGATTATATTGAGAAAGTAGTAACTTTGTTTATATATATATATATATATATATATATATATATATATATATATATATATATATATATATATATATATATATATATATATATATATGTGTGTGTGTGTGTGTTATTGTTACAATGTTGCTAAACATATGATAATTTATAGTGTCTTACATACTAATAAATGAATGAATCATGTTACAATAAAATATAAGTCGTTCCCTTATTTTCCTATTATGGCTTGTGTTGAATTTTTCTAAATTGTAGAAATAGTCAACACAAGAAAAATTCAACACAAGCCATAATAGGAAAATAAGGGAACGACTTATATTTTATTGTAACATGATTCATTCATTTATTAGTATGTAAGACACTATAAATTGTCATATGTTTAGTGTAACAATCATTAAACAACATTGTAACAACAATATATATATATATATATATATATATATATATATATATATATATATATATATATATATATATATATATATATATATATATATATATATATATATAAAGTTACTACTTTCTCAATATAATCGATCTTTATTCTTTAGACATATATTCTTTCATACAAGTTATTATTCTACATATATTATTTCGTGTTCAACTTTAGTGAGGGTGATATTTCATATCGTTATTAGAAGCCAAATTTCCGTTGCTACTCCAACAATTGGTATCAGAGCCAATTGTAAAATAGTAAAGTGGTAAAACTTTATTATTTTTAGGTTATCGAAGATAATGGCTTCTACTAGTGGAACCGTCAAGGTTGGTAAATATGAAATTGAGAAGTTCAATGGGAAAAATGATTTTTTCCTATTGGAGGATGCAGATGAAAAATCTGCTTATTTCACAAAAATTGCACAAAGCATTAGCGGAAATTTGGTTTCTAATAACCATATGAAATATCACCCTCACTAAAGTTGAACACGAAATAATATAGTTAGAATAATAACTTGTATGAAGGAATATATGTCTGAAGAATAAAGATCGATTATATTGAGAAAGTAGTAACTTTGTTTATATATATTGTGAGATATTGGATCGAACTCTAGTGTGGTCGAAGTCTGTTCGCAAGTAATGCGTGTTGTAGTCGAAGTTTGTTCTAACATGCATGAGTAAATATTGCTAAGGTTGTTAGCATGAGTAAATATTGCTAAGGTTGTTAGCATGAGTAAATATTGCTAAGGTTGTTAGCATGAGTAAATATTGCTAAGGTTGTTAGCATGAGTAAATATTGCTAAGGTTGTTAGCATGAGTAAATATTGCTAGGGTTGTTAGCATGTGCTATTTTATTATAAATAGGATGCTAGTTTCTCAATCTTGGCATAAGGAAAAATAGGAAGATAAAATCCTAATTTCAAGGGAGAGAGATTATTTTGTTATTCTTGTATACTTGTAATCTTGTTCTAAGAGAAAGGAAAGAATAGCAGTTTAATAACCAATCTTTGTTGTTCCTTGTTGTTTTACCTTGTTTTCTTTGTTAACCTAACCCTTGTGAGTTTCTTGATCATTAAGAAACCGTTTATACCTTGTTTAAAGGTATCCGATTCACAACAAATTGGTGCGGTGAGCGTGGAGAAGATGCCTTCAACAAAGTATGAGATTGAAAAGTTCACCGGAGTGAACGACTTCGGTCTGTGGCGCTTGAAGATGAAAGCCCTATTGGTTCAACAGGGTTGTTTGGAAGCGTTGAAGGGTGAGGCAGCCATGGACGCTGCGTTAACGGCAAAAGAAAAGACGAGTATGATCGAGAAAGCCCACAACGCAATATTGTTGAGCCTTGGTGATAAGGTTCTTCGACAGGTATCAAAGGAGACTACAGCATCGGGATTATGGGTGAAACTTGAAAGTTT